TGGTGAATGCTCATGGAATGAGCACAGGGCGCTGCTCCTCCACCTTGGCAATGCGCCACTGTGCCAGCGCCTGAGAGTCACAGTAGTTTCTCACAAGCAGAGTATGCTTTCAGAGCGACTTTTTGTACTGTCCCCACTGTCAGAAAGAAAACTGGAGTCCTGATGACCTCTGTACCCACAGGTGAGTCCCATGACTGTGTTGGTGGAGATGGCCAAGAATGGCCAGCTTTAAAAAAAGGCCACTTTTTTTTTTTTTTTTTTTTTTTTTTTTTTCCGAGACAGGGTTTCTCTGTGTAGCTTTGGAGCCTATCCTGGCACTCGCTCTGGAGACCAGGCTGGCCTCGAACTCATAGAGATCCGCCTGCCTCTGCCTCCTGAGTGCTGGGATTAAAGGTGTGTGCCACCAACGCCAGGCTAAAAGGCCACATTTGACATGAGACAATGTTCAGTCTTGAGATGTTAGCAGTCACGCTCAGGATTCAATTCCATGGCTCCCCAGACAGAATCCTGGGATCCCACTTATCTTGGGTCTCTTGAAAACAGCTCCCTTGAGGCACTATGGGTGACAATATTGTGTATTTCTGGGTTTTACCAGTGAGCCTCAGGGAAGCCAGATGATTTCACCCATCTTCAAGCCACATAGCCCTGGACCCTGGCAAGGTGGCACCTGAAAGTAGGTTTCTCCTGCCTCAGGAAGCCATTAGCAAGCCAGGACAAAAGAAGCTCACCACAGACCCTCCCCGTGTACAGCCTTACTGCCTTGCTCTGGCAGATAAAGAACCTGTTCAGAGAAAACACACACCCTGAAGGTCTTGGTGAAAAGCAACCTTAAGGAGCATCCATTTCATGGGTGACTAACTTTTGAGATGAAGGCCATGGAACTGACTCTCTGGGAACTTAGGGTTGTCCATCTGTAAAATGGACCATGGTCACTGGTTCTCACACAGCTCTAGGCAGCCCCTGCCTAGAGCAGCTGGAGACTTCATTGGAGGCACACTGATCTGACCAGCTTCCATCACTCCATCCAGGCACCTCTGCTGACAGCAGCTCCTCTGCCTCCCTGACAGGCTATGGAGTGATGTCAAGCTTGTGACCAACTATAGCTTCTATATGTATTTTTAAGGTACTACCATATCCACCCGGCCTGGCTTATATCCTTCCAAGCTACCATTTCCCCTCTGGGACATTCATTAAAAGAGCCCTGGGTGCCAGTCATCAAGAAAAGGTAGGCACAAGGTCCCTCCATGGTTCTTCCACACAGAGACACTGGCCAAGCCCAAACCTGCCAAGAAAGGGGCAGTCCCGCCTCACGGCTAGATTTTCTTCTTCGCAAATCTCTCTGTTAGGGACCAATATTACGGTGACACACACCATCCTTGTGTGCCTACTGCAGTCCTGGATTGGCCGTGGGCAGCCAAGGGGCTAGTAGCCTTGGTCATAGTCTGTATATGGTTGCTGTTGTTACTGGAGCTGTGAGGGACTAAGAGGCAAGAAGCCCTACAGGTGTCGCCCTCTAGTGGTGGCTTTTGTTATTCCCCACTGAGAGGAATGGGGGTTCCCAGAAACACAGCATCTTACTGTGCCACAAATACAAGAGAATTTCAATAATGATGGAGGTGCAACAAAAAGGCAAAGGATCTGGTCTAAAGATGACCCCCCCATAGGCCACAGTGGTGGAGGACACCAGAGCTCAATAATGACCACAATGGACTCACTCCACAGTGGGCAGAGGGAACATGCCATTCCAGAAGAACACCCACAAAAATGTATGCAGACTTCACCACCTGGAAATCTCAGTGTCAAAGGGGTTTAGACTGTGATTGTCACAGATACAAAAAACAGAGAAGACTCTCTTGAGGCAGGACAGTCACATAGTATCACACTGGTGTCCCGCAGGTTACTGACCAATCAAATAGGGAAATGAATGAAATTTATCTAGTAGTTATTACAGTGACCCGGAGCCTCCCCAGCAGGGCACAGACCTTCGAGTGTGTCTCCCCAGGGGTGCCACTGGCAGCAGTCAGCTCACCCCATACAGAGCTCCTGCCAATCACCAAGCTTGGGTCTAAGCACAAGAAAGCGAACAGATTAAGAATGTAGGTCGGCCTACAAGACAGTGCCCTGGAGTCTTCAAAACATGAACTAGAAGTCAGTGTGAGGGCAGGCTAAAGAAAAACCCTGGGGCATCAGTCTAGACAAAGAGATCGAAGCAAGTGAGATGACAAAACTGGCCATATCATGGCGTACTATTCAGCCGCAGGAATGAAAGTTGAGCACACTCAACACAGACATCAAAAACATCCACAGTGAAAGCAATCAGCCACCGAGGACCACGCACAGCTGGCCTTCCTGCAGATAAAACACCATAAAAAGACAGCCTGGAGTCAGAAAGTAGGCTAGTAACAGCCCATGACTTGGGGGAGGCTAAGCAGTAATGCAAATTCTCTAAAGTTCATTGTGATGAAGGATGCACAGCTATGGCTGCACTAAAAACCATCAATGAATTGCACGGTTGGCACAACCCCCCCTCCCCTGTTCCCTCCCTCTCTTTCCCTCTCTTTTTTTCCCCACAGGACTGGGAACTGATCACTGTAGCCCCAGACTGTATTCTAAATGATGGAACCACATAGTAATTAGTTGCATCTCAACAAAGCTGTGTTTGAGAAAGAGGTAGATGGACAGACAGACAGACAAAAATAGGGATAGAGCCTAAAGAGACAGTAATCAACACCTTCATGTCAAACACTTAAGTGGACTGTGGGAAAAGCATCTATAAAGGCATTTTAGGGTTCACTGGAGAACTGAACTGTGGCGTGTATATGATGATGTCTTCGTGCTGGTGTTTTCTTGGGTGTGGAAAGGGTACTTTGGTATCTTTCCCCTTTGATTTATAATTAGAAAGACTTGTATTTAGAGCAGTGGTTCCCAACCTGTGGATCATGACCATCAGAAAACACAAATTTCCAATAGTCTTAGGAACTGAGATACCACTCAGTAGCAAAGTTACAGTTATGAAGTAGCAACAAGAAGAAACTTATGGTTGGGGGTTCCTAAGACTATGGGAGATTCTGATGGATGTGACCCACAGGTTGAGAACTTGTGATTTGGAGCAATAAGTCAGGAATTTTGGCTTAGGTAAAGGGTGGAGGTGTCGAGGCAGGATGAGGCCAGTCATGAACATGGACATGAGAGGTCCATGGCACTTTGTCACAGAAGGCCCCCGGTTTTCATAAATGTAAAGATCCCTACAGTAGATGCTTTCACAATTTGCCCTTTGCCTATTATTCCAAAGAATTCTTCTTTTGTAAGTTTTTTTTTTTTTTCTGGATCCAGAGCTCACTCCGTAGCCCAGGCTAGCCTTGAACTAGAGACTCGGCGATCCTGATTTGTGCATTGCTTGCCTGATTCTCCTCCACTTTGGCTGAACTGCCACTTTCACATCCCAGTGTCCTGACTGTACCCAAGCAACTCTTTTGTCACCAAGGACACACAACTTGCTTAGCTGTGAGTGACTTCATGAGGGGCCCAACAGCCCCTTTTCCAAATGTCTTTTTAGCACACCCCCTTCCAAAGATCTCATGGATCCTGTGACTTTGGCAGGGGATTTGCTATGAGAAAACCCTCTTTAGTTCCCAACACTGTTGGCATAAACCTGAGCTCCACATGGCGGGTCATGCAGACCCCTTCAGCCCCATTCTTCTGCCCCCCTACATGCACTAATTTAGTAAGCCATGCCATGACCCATACTTTGTCTCTATAGGTTCTTTGAGGAGTCACTCTCCTTCCTGCCTCTAGGCATGCTGTGCCTCTCTGTCTGGAACACCATCCCCTACCCCCATCCTTTTGTCAGCCAGCCCTTTGTGCAGCTTTTACTCTTTAGCCTGGCATCTTTTCCTAAGAAGTCCATTACTGCTGCTTTGACCACCACTAGTTTGGCTTCTTATTGTACACACTTCCCCATCGCCCTTCCCACTGTTGGAATTAGACAACCGTTGACCCATTGCCCTACCACAGCTAGGGCTGAGCCTTTCTGTGCCTCAGAGCCTAGCAAAGACCTAAATGTGTCACTGAAGTGAAGGCCTGAGGAAGGACTGCAGAGATGCAGATTCTCAGCTCTTTCTCCATATAAACTGCATTCTTCCACACATCCTGTTAGGTGCCCATGCCCCGAGTCCCTCCTCTTTTTCTTTGTGTCTTCTGGCGTAGTCATGAAGCCAGAATGGTGGACAGATGGATTACAAAAAAGTCCAGGTAAATGTGTGCAGGAAAAGAATGCACAAGCTAGGATTTGCTTCCACCAGGTTGGCAAGGCTATTAGCCTTTGCCCCTGGACTCTCTCCCAGGAAGGTGCCTGTTTATCCAGGACCCAGGAGGCAGCATCCTTGGTGACTGCAGTACTGAAGCTGTCCACTGGGAGGCACCAGACCACCACCACCTGTGCCCATTCACTCTGGTCTCACAACACTGGGCAATGGAGAAAGCATTAAAATGGCCTCAGGAGCTCCTGGGCACCCTGCCATGGGTTCTATTTATGACCCAGAATGGTAGGGTCATTAGATGTGCCTGCACCTCCTTGCTACCATTCTTTGCCATTCACCTGCTCAAAGAGAAGCCAGCCAGTACTTTGAAAATCTGGTTTTGGTCACTCTGACCCCAAATCCTGCCTCTCAAATGGTCAAGTGGTCCTTCATTCACTCATGTTTCAATTACTGTCTGTATGCATGTGCATGGCAGAGACTAAACCCCAGGCCTTGGATACATTAGGTGAGTACTCTATCACTGAGCCATGTCCCCAGTCCTCAGTTATTATCAAGAGGAATGATGAGTTATGATTGACAGCCTGGGGATGGAGAATAAACCCTGTACACTAAAGAATGCTGTGTATGCTTAAACATCTTCTGGGCCCTGCTGTCTTTAAAGGGAGACTCTCTCAACCTATTTATGGTTCGCCTTTAGAATTCTTGTGATAATTAGTTTCAGAGGTTCACACACAGATTAAAAAGTAGCAGCCTCCGTATTCAAATGTTGTCTTTTCACAGCCTAACAGAATCCTAAAGGATCTACTTTACAATTCTGGGATGCATGGAGTAGATGCAGATTTACCCTTTCTATGTATACTACACTGTTCATTTTTGTGTCTTTGATGAAGCCTGAACTTCAGGGTTATTATCCAAAAAGAATACTCTGCTAACCTGACTGTGTATAGCAGTCACTGTCTACCAGACCTGGACCTAGGAGCTGGCTTTCCCTGGAAACCCGGTGCCACATGCCCTCATCATCTCCCCCCTCTCTCTCTCTCTCTCTCTCTCTCTGTGTGTGTGTGTGTG